TCATGAACTTTTCAAGCAATGTCAGGCGTTGTTGAGCTGGATTTGGATCCTGTGGAGGATTTTGGGCATTTTGAAAGGCTTGGAACATGGCAACAAATTGTTCCATATCGAAAGCTGGGGCAGCAGGTTGGGGATTACGCCTTGGCGGCATATTTTTTTATTTGACTGTGAAAATTCGACAAGATTAGTACTGATGATGATTTACTCACAAAAGGATAAAACCCAATTAAAACCGTGTAAAATGGTGCTACATTCCCTAGGTTTCCCCACCTAGGCTCTGATACCAAAATTTGTAACACCCCTAGGTGGGGGTTACGCAATAAGAATAAAATACGAGGGATAAACGAAAATAAAAATAAAATATAACTCCTGAACAATGTAGCACCAAGTAAAATACTAAAATAATACAACCATCATCAGTCACATTTATGTTGAAAACAACCCAGTCATAATCTTACATAAAAGAAGAAGACCAAAAGAAGGGATAGGTCTCCAACACGTGCACACTGTGAGACGTCTACTCCTCGTCTGAAAGATTACACTGCACACCACCTGGGGATGGGAAGAGAAAAGGGGTGAGCATGAAATGCTCAGTAGGAGGAATATTACTCACCTTTAGTTTTATTTAGTTTTCCAACTAAACTTGCATGGTTAGTAGTTTTTATGTTTTATGTATAATGAGTCAGATGATCAGTATCAGTGAGATAACCCAATCCGTACGCTCATGACGAAAAACCCCCGAAGGGCGCGGTGATTCAGAGGCACTGATAGCAAGGAGCTCTATCTCGGCGTCCCTACCAGATCAGTTCTCGAACCACGGGCAAGGGTGAACTGTCGTTCTGAGCCCTCACCAAGACGCAACCACTGTACAGTAACCTTAGGGATTCTCAACCCCGGAGAGCGTCATCACTCCTCCCCTCTTTTACCTTTTCGGGTTCACACCCAGGGATGGTGAACGGCCACACCTACTGTTAGCACACTATCTCACTATCGTGTCTGATTTACATTCTCCTAACCATGCTTTTGTGTCAGATTCCAAAATTATGTCAAAATCTCTTGGCCACGCTGTACATTACAGGACGGGCCCCATAATGGTTCTGTTTCAAGTCATATCGTATAACAGTAATAAATAAGTTTGATATACAATTTCAATCTTCTCAAATTTAAAAAAATAAAATAAAATAAATAAAATTCCACAAAAGTTAAGTAATAGGACCACTACCTCAAAACGGATCGTCAATCGGAAGTCGAGAAGCTGAGAAACGAAGCTTCGTCAGAATCCGGCCACCGGCAGCGGCGGTACGGCGGCGGAGCTTCCCGGTGAAGAATCCCGCGGCAGACTTGGGTCCTACCCCCCCTAAATCAATAGTTCTGAATCCAATGGCAATGTCAATTTTACCAAATTCGGCCTCTAACAACACGGATCGAGATCCTCACTTCCGGCCGAATTTTGAGTCTTGAATCTTTGTTTTTCAGCCACGGATCTTCAAAATTGATTGAGGGCTTTCATTACCCGTGAGATTCTGAGTATTTTGACACCAAGATCACGAGGATCCAACGGCTAGATTACCGGAACCATCCTCCCATTTTTCTCACGGCGGCGGCGGCTCGTTTTCTGGCAAGCCAACGGCGGTGACCACGGCTGGTGGCCCAGAACGACTCATCGGCTCCCTCTGAAGCTAATAAGATGGGCGGTGTCGTTCACGGCAGCCGAATGATGGAGGTACGAGGGCGGCGGTGGCGAGAAATCCGACCACCACAGGCGGCGGTGCTCCGGTCAGAATCAAGCCGTGCTACTGGTACGATTTTCTTCGTCTCTTCGCTCTGAGTCTATTGGGACCGGAATCACTTCAATCGGACACCGGACGGCAAAGATATCACGATCGGAAGTTTGGGTGTTTTTCGAAACTTTGGCCGGCGAGTGTGGCGTCGTCCGGCAGAGTTGGCGGCTGGAAGACACCAATCCAGACTCAGCTCGACGAGATCTTTCCAACGAGCCGGGAGGTGTCGAAAACGGACGCCGGAATCTCGCCGGAGGGGGGTCGGCCGTGCGGGGAGAAAAGGAGAGAAAATGAGAGAAAATGAAGAGAGGGAAAATGAGGGTTTTCTGATTGGTGAGGATGAGGAACACGCCCAAGTGGCACTAAATGACAGGTTGGGTATGCTGACTGTCAAAATTTTTATTTTTGACCCCCATATTTCTCTTAAATTTGAATTCTGGCCCAGATTTTTAAAATTTTCACACTTAAGTCTTTAAAAATTACAAATTGACCCCAAATAAATTTTGAGTTTTACAATGCCGCGGCCGTAGAACGCCAAGACAAGAACACAAAAGCCCCAAAGTCTCGTTGCACCATAGGGGACAAAACTCCTAAGATGCATACCCACCAAAAACCATATGAACTTCGCGCAGGTAAGCACCACTGCGACCATTGTTGTCGTCGAAAGTCCTTCCCTACACTTCCCTACACAATTCTGATGTCCACCATCGCCGTGACAAGGGGTTCAAACAATTATTCTTATTAATCAACAAAAATTAATAATTTTAAAAATATTTTATGAAAATACTAGAAATTTTTTAAGAGTTCACAAAAAAAAAATAAAACCTGAAAAAAATGCCAAAACAATAATCAAACTTTAAAATAAAGGGTGCATTGACATTTTAAAAACCTCAATTCATTACCTGAGGTCGATGTTTAAACATAAAATGTCTAAACTATCTTTCTAATTCATTAAAATTTTAAAAGTTTCTTACCATGAGGCTCTTGTTGCTCCAATTTACAAGAAAATTATAAGGCAAAATACATCATATAGCATATTTCCTACACATATTATGTTTGAAGTAATTGACATACTTCTTAAATGTTAATAAATTATAACATATTCTCATTTTACTTTTAAAAAATAGATATTATTATTTCCAAGTTTACCCATAGGTTTTATTGTTTCTTTCCCGCTTTCTCTCTCTTTCTCTTCAGATTGTCTCTCTCTACAGCTTCTCTATATTCTCTCTCTCTCAAACTATATCCAGCAATGATCAGACAGTGGCGGCTTTGCGATTCCGGTGAGGTTCCTTTGTGATTCCGGCAAGATTCATTATCTCTCTCTCTCTCTGAAACCAGATCTGACGAGGTACCTTTGCGATCCCCATCTGAAGCGCATGGATCTCGACAGGCGAGATCTCCTCGAGGTAGAACCTCTCCAGCGCGGTGGATATCCATCATGAACAAGTTGGCCAGAGATTTCGACGCCATTCACGAACCAGTCCGGCCAACCGCCGTGAAGCAGATCCCAATCGACTGAAGGACAACCTCGGAGTGGGCGCTAGAGAGGAGATTGCTCCTCGTGCTAAGTTCTAGATCCCGGCTGAGGTCGCTAAATTGGTTTTTTTTTTCTGTTAATGATTTTATTTCTGATTGATTTTTGAGTTTGTCATCGTCATTTTTGCTGAGTTCCGACGATCTATGATCTTCACCTGGAAGATTATCAAGGAGAAATTTTTTATATGTGATTGACGTTTCAAGGTCATTTGTTTATCTCTAGAGATTAGCGGGAAAAAAAAAAAGAATTCTAAGATATGAGATTAGCAAACAAAATTCTGACATTAACAGTTGTTTGCATTTACATATGAGTTTGTGATTGTGATATGAGAATAATTATGTTTTGGATTTGTCTGTGTTTGTGTTTATTATATTTACCGGTAAATACGTTAACAATTAGAAGATTGAATACGATAAATAATGTATATACTTAAAAATATTGTAGTAATTATAAGTTTAAATCTGATAAATATTGTGTTTAGTATTTATTAATAAAAGTTTGCATCTAGTACATATTGTAATACCTTCAAATACTTTATTAACTACAATTTTGAATATGATAAATATTGTATTTATATGTAATTGCTTTAGTAATTACAATTTGAAATATGCTATATTTATTGATAAATATGGTATTTACTGAAAAATATGTATTTAATGGCCGTCGGAGTTGGTGGAGGGATTTTCAGATAAATATGATATTTACTAGTAAATACGGTATTTATTGGTAAATACAATGTTAAACGGTCGCTAGAGTCTGTGCTTGAATTTTTAAATAAATATGATATTTACTGATAAATATAGTGTTAAACGGTCACCAAAGTCGATGGTCGGATTTTTAGGTAAATATAATATTTACTAATACATACAGTATTTATTGATAAATACGGTATTTATTTGTAAATACAACGTTAAACAGACGTCAAAATCAATGGTCAGCTTTTCAGGTAAATATAATATTTATTAGTAAATACAATATTAAATGGTACATACGGTATTTATCAGTAAATACAGTGTTAAACGATCGTCGAAAAACGGTCATCGATCGCTGAAAAATAGTCACAGGTTGCCAAAAACTGGTCTCCAATTGCTGAAACCGGCCACCAGTCCCGACCATGGCAGACTTACTATAATCTACTTATTCTAAAAAAATATGTTATAATTTACTATTTTTTAAAAAATAGATGTTTAGGGAGAAGAGTGAGGTAGAAAAAGAGATTTGGGAATATTTTTGAGGTGTTAATAATGTTTAAAACTTAAAATATCAAATTATGCTATAATTTACTAACCACTTTACCAATTATGTATTTTCCTCCTTATCACTTATAATTATAATTGTATCTCCAATCTAAACATATAATTATTTCGGCATTCAATGAAAACTATCACCCGCCACTGTTAATCAGATAAAGAAGCAACACTTATTCAGAGCCGCAAGATTAATAAAGAAGCATCCATCAAATTCTACAATGGTAAAATCTCCCATGAAACAAAATAGGCAATAAAAACGAGTGCATTTCCAGTAAAATAAAAAATAAAAAACAAAACATTTTCATCTTTACAACACTAGATCCCTTGACCTACGTAATTAAGAAAATCCCATTTCCTCGTTCCTTCTCGAGAACAAACTTGCAGTAAAATAATTGTTGTTTCTAACCTATTTTTGCAACATTTTCGATCTATACCAACACATGCGCTCTTCATTTCATTGAATAAACCAACAATTTGTACTTCCGTGTAGGTTTGCAAAGAAGATGTAAAGGGAACTATTGGGAAAAAATGGAAAAAGAAAAACAAATCAGTCGACTACCAAAGAACAAAGCATTATACACAAAAAATGGTCTGGAATATGAACTCAAAACAATACAAACCATAAATCTACCACGTTATGTTATGGTCTTTTTCTCAATTGGCATACCACATGAAAGTCACCGGAGACAAATGGTCTAGGTAGATTGCTCAGCTTTTCTTTCAGCTTCTGCTTCCTCTTTAAACTTCTTCAAGGACGGGGGTGGTCTTACAACAATGCTTTTCTTCCATTTCCGATCAAGCTTTCTGGACAGTCGCTTATTGATTCCCTCCTCAAGTTCTCTTTCCCGTTTAACGGTAAGCATACGAGCAATCTATTGGACATAACCACCTTTACACAATGAGTATGATATCAAGGCAAAACATGTAGGAACATATCTAGTGAAGGCTTAAGAACAAGCCTTAGAAAGTCACAGACATAAGGAAGCACAAAGAACTAGCAGTAAATGAAAGTATGATGAACAAGCAAGTGTATAGAAGTCAGCAGGTTAATATATTCGATAATTCCAATCCTAATATCAAGCAGCGAGATGCAACTTCTTTCTCAACGTATTGTCGCCGTCATTAACCCTTCCACAAAACAAAAAATGGTATAATGCCACTCATCTCTCTATCCAGTGTTTGATAGCTCTGATGTGCCAGTTTCAATAATACTAACAGTAAACCAGAGAGAAACAATGCCCCACTAATCATCAAGCAGCACCAAAAACAACAACAAAAACTCTGAAAATACACACATGAATTGCTAAAAGGCAAATCATCCACCCTTAATGCCACTAAGAACAGCCAGCACAACAACTGGTAGATACTGCATTAACTAGATAAATTCATCATCACTCATAAGTGTGGTCAAAAGCCATCACTTAGAATGCCACACAATTTAATGTTGAAGAAACTACACAGAATATATAACATCTCTAAGGCTAATAATATCACCATATGCTTAATCAGGAAACTTCTTGTCAGCTAAAAAGTAAAAACTCCTGATTCATCATTAGAAAAGTCTTATGACCCTTATGTGACATGACTTTAGGACCATCCATTCAAATTTTCACCAGGAGGCTGCACATAATTCAGAGGTTCTTGCTTATGGCACTTTGTTGTATTTAGCCACTTGACAAAATGTCAGCAATTAACATCACATCTAATTGTTTCATATCCCGGCTTTAGAGTCCTATATTTTCTAAATGATTTCCATGAACTTCTCTTTCCTAATTTGATTCAAAATAATGTTACCGACATAATTTAGAAGCGTTAAACTACTCACATATAGTTGCGAGGTGGAACAAATAAAAGTTTGTATCTCCGATTAACTCAAGAGAAACAAATAAATTGCAATATCACTTCCAAATTACAAACTCTTAAGGTTTCCTCGCTATCCGAGGACATAAGAATGGAAAATTTCATCGTTTTGTCAATTGGTTGGATCTGAATCATTTCAAATATCCTGCATAGTGCATCTACAGAATGAAATGCAACTTTCCTGTCAATTTACTGCTATTATGAATAAATCTCTAAAATAAACTCAGTACACCATGGCATTAAGACATTCAAACAGGAAATATAAAGTTCAAAACATCCCCTTAAGCCCATTAAGTTAAGAACCGAAAAAACTCAACACAAACTCTTCATTCCAACTAAAAATATATCAAAAGATAAAGGAAAAAAGAAAAAACAACAAAATGCAACAAAATCCTTTGTTCTCCCTTATCAATACGCTTGAGCATGTCATTCAATAGTGGAGCAAAAAGACTTAGAGTAACAATACACGCCATGAAAATTTTATCACGAACATCACAATGCATACATTTCAAAATTCTACAGGTTCTATAAAACTAAAATTACTACTTTGTCTCAGTTTTTTTTCCCCCCTCTAACAAGCTAGGTTTTTAGTACTGAAACTTTTTTTTTACAATATGTGTAATTTTTCTTCAGTAATAATAACCCAGAAAATATTGTCCAAATAGATTTGGTATTCTTACTCTATTAACTCCTCAGCGCAAATATTTTCTAAAATCTAGTAGACTCAATTGTTTTGTGCAATAAATCAACTCAATTTCTCGAGAAACAAACACCCTGTAAAGCTCGGACCTTTTTGCGCATGAGACGGAACTCGCTGGACTTGAACTCGTTGCGAGAAGATTTCTGGAGGCGGAGCATGAGGAGATCACCCTTGAGATCGATAATCTCCTCGTTGATCTGTTCGGTTGTCTTGGATCGGATTTCCTTGAGTTCCTCGTCTTTCTTCGCCATCATCACCGCCGACGAAGGCTTCCTTGGGGAGCGGAGGAGGGGAAGACGAAGGGGATAGGCGTGTTGGAGTCTGAGTCCGCCATTGAAGAAGGAAGAGGAAGAGTTTGGGAATGGAGAGAAAAGCTTTGGAGTGAATGTGGCGGGTGAAGGTGAGGAGGCAATAGAGATAGGGCTTAAGCTCATCATCTTCGTTTCGTTTGGGTTGAGCTCACTCGCTCTGTGTTCCACTGCTATTTGAGCGATGTAGATAAGGCTGGTTTTCACTTTCCCCCCTCGCTCCCCCCCAACACACACTCTCTCTTAACAGAGGGAAAACGACGTGTCGTTTTATGTTAAATGTTTGCTTTTTTTTTTTTTAAGGGGGAAATGTTTGCTTTTTTTTTCTTATCTATTTATTTATTTATTAATTAATTTATGTTGAGTGATTAGAGCTGAAGTTTGGCCTCGGCCAAACAGACCGGCCTAAGACTCGCTGTTGGCCTAGTTCGGTTCTAATTTTCAGGTTAGATTGGATTGTTGTTTTAAGTCTTAAAGTCGGTCCGGCTCAAACATTATATTTTTAAATATTTTTTTAAAAAAAATCTTATAAAATTTCAAGCCAAGTCAAGCAAGACCAACCTTAAATTTTTTCGGCTTAAGACTGAGCTAGGCCGACCCTCTCTCTTTTAGGGCTGGCCCGGCCCGGCCTGAAATTTCCCCTTAGGCTATCGGACCTAGGCCGCACCAGGCTAGGCAACACAAACTTTGACCTCTATGAGTGAACTTGTGATACACGAAAGTTTCCTGTTGTTCGTTCATTTTGCTACAGTAAAAAGCTCTGTTCATTTTACCGATTCGAGTTTTGCTACAGTAAAAAGCTCTCAGAAACAGTCACATCTAACTTTTTTGCTACAGTAAAAGGCTCTCACATAAAGTCACATCTTAACTCGAATCAACGAACTAAACGGGCTCTTAATAATTTTACATATTAGAGCACAAATCTTAAGAAGGAAGCCAATTTTTTTTCCTTTGAGATTTTAACATGAATTGCATAGACGAAATGACTACTTTGATACAATGTAGTAGAATTAAGATCCATTTTGGGATTTTTAAAAGTTAAGAACTAAAATAGAATGGGATATGCAAAACTCGCCTTTTTTGAGCTATATTTAAGTAAATGGTTGAAGTTTTCTAAAAGGGAAATGATCATTTTTCAACCGTTGTAAATCAATGATACATCAATTCATCACTGATTGACTTAGTAACTCTTAACTGATTAACCAAAACCTGTTAGTGATAAACCAATTTCAATCAATAATTTATTGTTTCATCAGTTATAAGCTATTGGTATATAAATGGTAAACTGGTTATTAGTGATAAACCATGTTATATCAATGCTTGACCACTGTATTTTTTTTTTTTTCTGAAAAAGTTCTCCCAAAGCAAAAAAAAAAAAATCGACCATTTTCCTAAAATAAGTTTGGCCATTAATTTAAAAGGGATGGCCAAAATCAACCATCTGCCTAATTGTTCTGAATAGAATTTAGCGTATAGCTTGGAATTAAAAATGAATTATAAATTGATGTTGTTTTAAGAATTTCAATTCAAACCAATAAAATCAACCAAAATTTATTTTCTTTCTATTTTTTTTTTAACTTTGTACTTATTTCTATATCTGCATGTATGTATGTCATTTTCTTAATAACTTGATATTATTTTACGTTATTACGTTTTAAGTAAAATTTCAGCTAATTGAAAGACTTCCAAAAAATAATAATAATAATAATGGCTAATTCTACGTCATCAATTCAAATTTTTCTTAAATGTCAAGAATTATTTAATAAGGGTGATAACTAAAGTAAACTAACATTTAAATTCCATATTATGTATGCAAAATTCACACCTAACTTGTTGATCATGCCCGAAATGCCAAAAAAAATTTTAAATCCCACTAATACTATAAAAAGTGGGGCTGATAAGCGAATTAAACCACGTATAAAAGTGTTTAACCATTATCCAAAAATATAATATTACAAATATTTACAAGAATATCCAAACAGTACCTCTAGACACTCACACTAGTCGCCAAGTAATCATTAATTTGATAATTCTGGTTTTATATATGTTCATTTGAATCGAAGATGTCAAGCATTAGTCTGAATAGAGATTTGTAATTTAAGATAAACAAAAGTAACATCATTTTGAGCATCTCCCAACCTTATTTGGGTATAGGGAATTAGAGGAATACCACATCTAGAGAGTGAGAATTCGAATATTGTGAAATTTTCAAACCAAAGTGGTACAAGTGAATAACTAGACTTCAAAACCGGTAAACAACCTGGTTTACGCTTGTAGGTACACAGCATTGAAGAACTATGGATACCAATCACTGGATCATATTGCTCCCTTGCATCCCATAATTTAAACTCGCTCTTCTCAACTGCAAAATTGTCAAACGGGGAAACAGGGCTTTATGTTCATTTACTCTGGCCAACTTGATCAAACTATCAAATAATTCAAAGAATAGAAAGAACAGACAGGACAAAGAATGAAATAACAAACCTCCTCAACAGCTTCTGCCATGACTGAAACATCTTCCTCTCCTTTCTTTAAGACCTCGATACGAGCTCGAATGAGCTGATTTTGTTCCTCTGCCTAGGTTTAAGGCGGTAAAAAGGCAACTTAGTAATGCAACTGTATGTAATCCCCAATGTTCAAGTATATACTTGAATCAAGTGTTTGACTCACTTTCCTATTCACTTTCTTTCCATTCCAAACCTAATCCCTTCACAATTACAATCACTGATGAATTGGTAAAAATCATGCTTTAACCACTTGGGATGCATGTAAATATATAAATTTATACACATATACAGATAGAGAGAGGATTGTATAAGACAGCGTTGCCACGTGGAAAATAAGATGATACCATCGCGTAATGTCAATTTTAGAAGAAGCAACACAATGCAGTTGCATGTATTAGTGTATTACCCTTTGCAGCATATTCTTCAAGTGCTGGATTTCATTTTCCTTTGTCGTCAATACATTCTGACCCACATCCACTACATTAACCCTGCACTTGAGTTCAAGTTACAAAAGTCACAAAAACGAATTCTACGTATAGCAACAAATGCAACATGCAATTGGAGGAAACAATCTGTAACTAGTGGACAGACCACTTATAAAAGAAAGAAGTAAACTTGTAATATTAGGGATTAGGGAATAATAATCACAGGCCACAGCAGAGAACTCCCAAAAAAAATACACAAAAAAAAAAAATCAAAAACAAAAACCCTTAAATAATAACAATGAAGAACGGTTTGTGTTCAGTGTTTCATGGAACATCTTGTTTCCAGATTTGTGAGATCCAAAACTGTAGGCATCTCAAAACGATAAATGTTATAGGTATGTCAGTATGTCTGAATTGGATTATTTGGTTATATATGTTGGCAAGGGTTTGGGAGAATTGTTAGTAAAAAGATGACATTACTTGTAAAAGAAAAAGGATATAAATGAAAAATGCCTACTTATCTGAATGCAAAGAATCCAGAGCTTGTTCTTCTACAAGTTGCTCCACAGTATCCAGAACAATTCCGATCTACATTAAGAAAATTTATGAGATAAAACCAGACAGAAGAAACAAAAACAAAAGGTCTGTTTCATGTTAGAATCAGTTCAATATTTTCATATTCATGCAAGAGCACATTCAGCTTGTCCCACGGTGTAACTTTTACTTGCATTATAGGTCCATGTACCAATTATGTGAGAGTTCTAATTTATAAATACTGATTGTAGTAACATGACAAAGCTCTGACATCAGGAAGAAAAATACAGGGGAAAAAAAAAGGATACCTGTGTTTCTTGAAACAACGATTCAAATTCCTCCTGCGATATTCAACAGAGACAAATGAGATTCAGATTGTATCAATTTTATGCTAGCATATCACACAACGTTTAAGGAAATCTATTCCAAGAAACAAAAAATTATGCAACATTGTTAAGTCTATAAGAAAACCCATTAAAATTTGTGTCAGAAGAGGTACCTCTATGTTTCCATGCACAGAAGTGGCAACCTGGAAATTTGGTGCCAATAGAATCGAGCAGAGCAAAATTAACTCAAGGTTAACAAAACTTATAAAATTTTTGCAATGAAATAAAACATTATTCTCCTAAACAGTGAAAGAACTCTGTAGTTGAAACCTGAGTATTGGCACATAAGAAGACAGTGCAACCTTTCACGAACCAAGACAAATGAAAAAAAAACATTAACTCTAACCTTAGTTAAGTACAACAAAGACATGTTTCGAATATCTCCACTATGATGTTGGGACAAAGTACCCAATGTGCAAAGGTTTACCCAATTCAGAAAACTAGACGACCTGACCTTCAGATAGTAACAACCTCTAGAGACCAAAAATCTTATAAAAGCCGACTCATTCTTTTTAAAATGCCTCCACCATTACTTTTCTCTTGCAACAGCCTTCTCTGCGTCATTTCTATAAAAATAAAAGAGCTTACAAGAGAAATCCCTTACAATCCTTCCACGCCTATCATAAAACCGTTCAGCCATCAGAGTATTTCAAGATCCCTTTGTTAGCGTCACCTAAAATAAAGGAGCCAAGGGATCCTTTCCTTTGAGTTGTTTGAATTTCACTATCTTTCCCACCAATAGTTTACAGGGCATTCTCGTATCATTTTCGTTTCACAAAATTTCAAAACCATCTTCGATAAATTAGGTTGACTAACTTGACATAAGTAAAGTTAGTCTATAAATGATATTTTAAGCCTAAAAAAGTACATAAGATATTGTCTACTGCATACAAGAAAATTTAGGGCAATAGTCAATACCTGAATAAATAGCCGATGGAGACACTCTTGCTCAGTAGAAGTAAAACTTGGAAATGCCTTGCAAATATCCTTTAGATTCATATAGAGAAACATAAATACTTTCAAACAAACTTAAATGGAAAACTAAACTAACTTTAACCAACATAGCTAAATACCATTGTGTAAGAAGGCATTGGATTATAGAAGAAACATTTGCCATATACAAACACATTGTCCGCATAAATTCGTTACTAAATATCTCATCTTTCTTAGCAAGATTTTGGATGAAATTTAGAGACGACCCAAGTCTCAAACTTTCGAGTAAAACAAAATTGAAAGTATTTTGTACAAAATCCAAATTCAAAATACCAGTAAAATTATCCAGATTTTCATTAAGTAATAAAAATACCTGCTTAGAACAGGCGATGAGAAGAGAACGCATAGCAAGCTTGAAGGACTTTTTCAAGTCCGCTTGCCTCGTCCCAAACGGAGAAGCACCAAATTCGTCCCTTTTCTGCATTGAAGAGTCTATAATGCGAAGAAAATACATAAAATTAACAGAAATCAGTAAAAGAAAAATATGGAATCTTCCATTTTAGAGACCAAATTTTGTTCAATCGAAAAAGAAAGAACGCAAATTGTCGAATATCCGAAATGCTTACCTACTAGTGAATCCACTTAGCGTCTTCGCGATGAATTCTAGAGAGAGAAACGGAATGGTGAGAGAGAAACAGGTCGCGAGTTTGATTTTCAAAAATGGCTTTTCTCTCTCTCTTTCTCTGGCTGCATTTGGCATTTCTTTTCGCACTCAAAATCAGTTTTTTTTACTTGTAGTCAAAATTAATTTTAATATTTAATAAATCTCTTCAAAAATATTTTTTAAAGAATTTATAACTAAAATAAAAAATAATCTAAAAATAATTTTAATTTTTAAATTATGTGAAAATTAACATAGTATAATTAATAAAATTTTTATAATATTCATAATACTCTTAATAAAATTTAAAATTTACAATCTTTTTAATTTAAAATTCAGACTCATAATATAATATAATATAATATTGTAACAAATAATTATTGTAACAAATAATATCATAATTATATTAATAACTCTAATATTATTATTTTTATCATATAATATGATATTATAAATATTATAATTATATTAACAATTTTAATAATATTGTTATATTATATATCATAATTATATAATAATAATTTTATTATATTATATTACATTTTATATATTATAATATTATAATTATATTAACAATTTTAATAATATTGTTATATTATATATCATAATTATATAATAATAATTTTATTATATTATATTACATTTTATATATTATAATATTATAATTATATTAACAATTTTAATAATATTGTTATATTATATATCATAATTATATAATAATAATTTTATTATATTATATTACATTTTATATATTATAATATTATAATTATATTAACAATTTTAATAATATTGTTATATTATATATCATAATTATATAATAATAATTTTATTATATTATATTACATTTTATATATTATAATATTATAATTATATTAACAATTTTAATAATATTGTTATATTATATATCATAATTATATAATAATAATTTTATTATATTATATTACATTTTATATATTATAATATTATAATTATATTAACAATTTTAATAATATTGTTATATTATATATCATAATTATATAATAATAATTTTATTATATTATATTACATTTTATATATTATAATATTATAATATTATAATTATATTAACAATTTTAATAATATTGTTATATTATATATCATAATTATATAATATATTATATAATAATAATTTTTTATTATATTAAATATAATAATAAATATATATTATATTGTAATTATATATATTATATTATAATATAATATAATACAATCATAATTTTTAATTATCCATAACAATTCAATCTCATAATTTACTAAACGCTATTATACTGATTTTAGAACCAGCATAGATACTACAATTATAGTTTACTAAACACTCAGTTGTTTTTTGTAATAGTTGTTTTTTCTTTCAGCGCAACTAAAAGTAATTTTTTTCAAAATCTACAGTAATACCAAACTAAGCCTATGTACAATTGTGGTGTCGTTTCTCATTCATATCTTCACAGACCAAGAACTACGAGATCGCCCCTTTCATTCTGGGGTGACGGAGGGATCGTACCATTCGAGCCTTTTTTTTCATTCTTTTCCCGGAGGTCTGGAGAAAGCTCCAATCAATAGGAAAAAAACCTCCCTTCCCGAAAGGAAGAACGTGAAATTCTTTTTCCTATTCTTCAATCTCGAAGGATTCTTGAAGGAAGATCCTTATGTTTGTTGTCGCGAAAGGGACCCGAGGGGTTGATCGGACAACCTGGGTCGGCGTAGATCCGGATGATTGATGGAAGAAACACCAAACATATCCCAAACTTCTCGCTCCCACCGGCCGGCTGATGGAAATAGACTGACTACCGGAGATATTCGTGTTACTTCGTCTGCACTGGTTTGTACACGAATGCGTGAGTTAAACGGACTCCTCGGGGGCTACTTAAGGCACTTTAGTGCAAACCAGAAGGACTGGAGCTGTTGGATGTTGCTCAGTGCTGCTATAACTTAACAACCAAAAAGCTCTGCGTCGAACTTCAGCCCCTTCGAGTTGGCCACGGGGCAACAGCCTCTGACGCCCCACACCATTGCGGTTTTTCCGACAAAAAGACTTACATTATCACACCAAGATAGCTCGAGAATCAATTTTGAAACTAATGACTAAAGTGGGATTTATATATATTTCAGTTATTATTTTAATAATATTATTATATTCTATATCATAATTATATAATATACTTTTTTATTGTATTAAATATAATAATAAATATATATTATATTGTAATTATATATATTATATTATACTATAATATAATATAGTCATAATTTTTAATTATCCACAATAATTTAATTTTATAATTTACCAAACACTATTAAACTGATTTTGGAACCAACAGAACTACTATAATTATAGTTTACCAAATACTCAACTGCTTTTTGTAACAACTATTTTTTTAACACAATTAAAAGTAATTTTTCTAAAATTCACAGTAATATTAAACTAAGCATCTCGAAATTCGATTATTTAGGGCTGGACTTATTACACACCTGCGTTTTATCAAAATAACGGAGAGACCCCTTTAAACAAAATAAATCACGTCAACACCCTTGCTCTTAACTCTATTAAGTATAAATACGAAATGTCCATTTACTATCAGCCTTTCATCTAATTTCTCTAAATCTCAACCATTCATTTATGTTCATTTTATATGAGAAACAAAAAAAAAAAAAAAAACATTGTCTTATTTAAAATAACATTTGATATAAATTGGGAAAGCCAATCTGGGTAGTGGCCTGTTTTTTGTTAAAAGTTAAAAATACAGCAAGCTTTTGAATAGGGCGTCGTTTTTGGGTCTAAACTGCAGCGAAATGGTAAAACGTCAAGCCAACAAAGACCTACTGAATGAATTCGAATTGCATGTGGTTTTTTTTATTTATTAGAAAAGGTGCAAAACTATTCTTTTATAATAGTGACTCATCATTCTATTATTGACATCTTAATCATAATTATTATTTTATCATATAAAATAACTTAAACAAATTAAAATAAAAGGAACTATGTAGAACACATGGGACAATATTGATTTCAATTAATGGCCAATTCCAGAAAAATTTCTTTTTGATATGAACAATAGTAGAATTTAAACACTTAATACCATGTCATTCGGACTTTGAACAACAATAAATTCAAAGTAAGAAACGACATATGCTTTTAACTTAGCAACAACTATCTTGCCGAAACAAAAGGAAGCCTCTCTTTTAGAATAAGTAATTTTGAAACATACTCCACATGTAATAATGTTGTGTTAGAATCACTGATCAATTTATTATTTATTGTATAATGAGGAATTTATTTATACATATATATGTTTTTTGGTTCATTTTAAAATAAAATATTATAATTTTGGTTGAAATAAAACTGATTTTGATTTGAAGCACTCAATAGGATAAAAGATCTATATAATAAATCAAAATAAAATAATATTTAGTGAGAAAAATGTAGAGAGAAAATTACTTAGGAATACTTATAAGAAACTAATATTATACAAGGTTGCAAAAAGACATTATACTAAGATAATTATTGTTCCCATTCGAGGATCCGGGTCTAAATCCCCGCGTCTCCTAACGTTATTGGACTCGCTTCGTGGACCCAAACCACACTCGGAAAAATTCTATGGATAGTAGTTTGGTGGGCCATGTGTGATCAGATAGGCTCATTTATCATTTAATTTGATCTGATTTGAATCCCGCTTGGGGAATTTTCAAAATTAATAGAATTAAATGTAAATAGATGATGGGGAATTACCAAAAGCCTTCCATTCGTCCGAAGTCCATGCCTTAGATTGTTTTCTCCACTTGACTAGCCTTGAAACTCGATGTTTTGGCTTCAACGAAGCCTTCATCCGCATCGAAATGTGCCTAACTATGTCATTCTTCGTATCAAGATGTTTGATGGAGCACTTCCTTGTGCCCAGGTACGCCTAATGGAGTCGTTCTTTATGTTAGGCGTGCCTCTTTTTGCACACGTCAGAGGAACTTCATTCGTAGCAACTTTGTTCGAAGTAAATTTTTGTGTCAGAGCAAACTCGACGGCTGCTTAGCCATGCTTACACAATCCATCTTTGACAAATTTTGACGCACTATCAAATCTCCAAATGAGGAATTTAATAGAGCACAAAGTTGAGTCAAAACACTCTTAAGAGTTTCAAACCTGGGGAAGCTCTAAATCATCCTAAAATTCATAATTAAATCTTTCCATTCTCAGACCATCCCTCTTGCTAGTTTGGAAAGGCACCTAATGACCTTACTCCATCGAGATTGAGTGTGCAGGCCTCCATCAGAGTGCCGTCGTTTGGCCTTTGGAGCTGCCACTCAGAACTTTCCATTCCATTTTTGGACCATATTTCTTGTTAGCCCAGAAAGGTGTCTGGAGATTTTGCTCCATCAGGATTGAATGTGTAGGCCTCCATCAGAGTGCCACTAATCTTCCTTCTGAGTGAATTTCTAGAACCTTCCTTTCCTCATTTGGTGAGTCATGTCAACTCCGAAAAGGTAGCTGACGACCTTGTTCCAAACAGTATTGCGTGTGCAACCTTCGTCAAAGCACATCATACGGACGGACGGAGCATGTGTCAAAATGCCTCCAACTTCCATTATAAATATCCCTCACTATCTTGCCCATTTCATCAACAGACACCATCACACTTTACACTACCTAAGAGGTTTAGCTAAAACTCTTAAGATTTCATTCTTTAGAATTTCTCACTTTGATTGTTCTTCTTCAAGTCGTTTGCTACAAAGACTTAAAGCTCTTTAAAGTTCTTAAGTGGTTGCTCAGTTTTTAAGTGGCTGTCAGTCTTAAAAACTCCTTAAGAACTCTCTTCGATCCTTTCTCGTCATCATTCAAGGGTGTTCCATAACTTTTTCACTCATTTTTCTGGAAGTATTCAAGTCTTATACTTGGAGTCACTCTCGCTCACCATCAGAGCAAGTGCTCCAAATGAATTCTTCGCTCACAAAGCAGCTCATGTTTGTCTTTGTTGCATCTCTCGTCCCTCCAATGAAGCCTTATCTACCATACGAGTTACTCCGCTCTTGGAACAACCCATGTCTATCCCGGAGCAAAGTTCC